CTCCCGGTGAAGAGATAATCAGGCCCATTAGAAACAGAAGACTTGAGGGTAGCCAAACCATTTATGCCTGCACAGTGCTGTAGAAAAGGAATAAATTTCAAACAAAGAAGGAAAGAGCAACGTAAACAAAATTCAAGGGGGGATTTCTGACCAAAATCTTTGAGGGATGAATAAAAAGCACCTGATGAAGTCAAATACCAGGTGCAAATAGGAGGTAGTGTTAAATATTAAGAAATAAGGAGGGCAAATATGTATACCGCTGAGGGCTGCTATTAAACAACAGAGAAATTTTATTTTCATCTGACTACACAAAAGATGTACATATATTACTTCTACAAACAACCTAATCAGTCCCAGGGAATTGGCAGGTTTTGTAAAACAATATGTTTGAATTTAAAATGGTCAGCAGCACAAATTACAAGAAACAACCATGACATTTAGATGTTTAGATACAACAAAAAAGAAAAAGAAATGATGAATTCACCTTTGTGTCATCAGAATCACTCAAAACATATGTTAATCTCTTCTCTTTACGAAGCCGACTTGAATTGTTTGTGTTTCCTGTGCTTCCCACACGATGCATTGCAGAAACTATGACAGTACATAATTCTCGAAGTGTCAATAAAATAAAGGAGTTAACAGCAGAAAATGCAAAGGAGGCATACAAGATCAAATGATATTCGTCCACCACACTAATTACTAAATTTCAAACACAGAAAAACAACCCAACTTCTGTCTTCACCGATATAAAGTGAAAGTGAAAAATTAAAACGTATACGTAGAACCCGTTGACAATAATTTAATGTTGACATTCTGTTCAGAAGTCTAAAACTCCAAAAAATTCGAGGGGCATTTCAAATTACCGAAGAAAAACTTTCCATTCATGGGGACAATAGTCTCTATTAAAAGTAAGACTCAGATGAAAGCATTTGGCACAGCCCAGGAGCCCATAAACCACTTAAATCCAGATCATACAATTATCCGTGAGGGTTGCAGAGGATAGCATCAACCCAAACTCATTCTTTCCACAATGCCGGAATAATCAAGCAAAAGATGTATATAGCATATCGAGTTTATTGGGGGGGGCCAAAAAGCGAATTAAGCAAAAACCACGATCATCAAAATAAACCTAGAAGAGACAACAGATTAAACCCCCTGAAGCAATCACATACCTCAACATCCTGATAAACAGAAAAAAAGCGAAGAAATAAAATAAAAAATGCCCCAACAAGGACTAACAGCAAAATTTACTAAGCCGATCATCGGGTCAGGCATTCAAGGGCCCGCGGGAACATAACCAACCATGTTGATTGTTGTAAGATGCAGAGAGTTATTTTGCAATAGAAATTTAACAAATAAGAATTTAAAATTTAAAATCGAGTTAGAGAAAGAAGAGATGTAAAGGTAGAGAAAATGGTGAAGTCCTAACCTCAATCAGTAAGAATTCGAAGCTTCCTTCAGCTTGTCTCCTCCCACTGCCGAAGTTTCAACGATACAGGGAGGCTTTTCCGAAGAGAGAAAGGAGAGTGAAAATTGGGCTTCGATTTTATTGCGGCAGGTCCTTTGACTGGGTTTGTGTTTTTTAATCGAGGACAAGATCGTCCTTGCACGTCTAAGAAAAATTCCAGACTGGAAAACGGAAAATCGTTACTTCTTTTTTACCGAGGGAAATCGTTCCCGATAGTTCGGGGCCTGCGTTAGCTTTTCAGCATTTGCCACGGTCGCATTTTTTAGGGAAGCAGGTTTCGTGATTCGCGTCTGATTTTTATGGCTTTAAGCCGGGAACAAACAAGCGACGGAGTCCGTTTCCCTCCTTGCCTAATATTTCATTCACTCTCAGATTAGTTCAAAGTAGTGATGGTGTATAATTTATCGATCATTCATGGTCATGCTGTTCTCAAATTAAAAAATCAAATTAAAAAATGTTTGGGTGAAACACTCCTGGATTTTTAAAAAATTATTATTTTAAAAATAATTTTACAATATATAAAATAAATATGCAAGAAAAATTTTGTTTTGACTTGCGTTAAAGTATTTTTTAAAAATACTTTTTAGGTTAATCAAACACTCCTAGATTTTTAAACTTATGGTGGCTTTTGGATGATTTTTTTAAATAGGGTATTTAAATTTCAATTCTTCCAACCAAGAAAAATTTGTTTTTATGAAATTTTTTAAAAGAAATAAAAATAATTGTGGGGAGTTCAATATGTGCAAGTAAAATAAAATAATTATTATATCCTTTGGATTTTTAATGTAAAACTTAATTTGAGAAGTGATGTTAGTCCTATATATAACACGTATTTTACATACTTATCGATTTTTTTCAAATTAATCATACTGATATTCCTTCAATAATAAGCAAATAAGAAGAAAAGAGGAAATCAAAAAAGATTATTAGGGTGCTTTAAAAAAAATATTAACTAATTTAACTAATATTTTAAACTATTTAAATTAGTTAATTATGAGTATTATTTATGATTTGCAAACAACATAGTTCTTATAGTTGCTAGAATGATTCTATGCATGCAGTTATTTGATTTCTATAAATTAGCCCGGGGAACTGTCTCCTAAAGATAAGTGATTATGGATGTTAGCATGGAATATAAAACCTAGATTCAATCACTTTATCTATAAATTGTCATGTGCTATATCTCGGTAACTGACATAAAAATTAGCTGGCTAATTTGACTACATCAAGAAACTAATTAGGTTAGTTATTTGTGGTAAATAGATATTGTTTTTTTTTTCAAATATCCTTGTTAATCATGCGTATTAATTAATATTACTATTTATAAGACACTTAACACGTACAATTACTGTAAATACTACATTCAGAAAAAATAGATAAATATGATAGAAAAAGTTGATTGAAATATTATATTTAAAATCAAATCAAACTAACTCTTATATCAAGGATGAGGATAATATAAAAAATATGTGTGTTGGCCAAAAAATAGTATAAAAAAAGTGACTCAATTTAACGCGACACGCGGCCAATAATGGTTTGATTAGAAAAATTATGTATTGTGTAATAATGGTTTGTTTTTATATAAAATCTAATTTGATATTTAATTTAATTATAAATATAAAATCTTAATTTACTTTATGCTTTGTGTTTATATACATGATTATTAGCAGGGGTATTTAAAAAATAATAATACTTATTTATTTCAAACAATTAACTTAACTTTTTTTTTTTATATATTCATATCAGTTGACTAGCTATTATGTTAAAGACCAGAAATAATATCAAAACAGCAATACCAATAACGACAAAGTTAAAAACATATTTAAACAAATACATGCAATACAAATAATGAGAAACCATAAGAGAGTCCAAATTGAAAAAAAACATGTTTAGTTGGTAAAAAAATTAGTTTATAAATCAAGATTGTTAGTTCAAATTCTAAGGCCAGGCATTATTTTTTTGGCTTTACAATCTAGTGGAAATTTAGATTAAAAAAAAAACACATATACACAGTTCAAATTCTCAATTGCCCACATTTAATATGTAATAACACTTCAAATGCGGCTGCTTGTTTTTTTATTAATTAAGTTGAGCCTAATAAGAGGCACTAGCCATTGATAGCATGATAGAGTGAGGTTTGAACACGTAAAGGATGTGCTCGTGTTTAATACTCGGCAGTTTCTTCAACCGGTTTATCCTCCCCCGGGCACAACCGGTTTATCTGTGTATATCTCAATATGGCTTCCTAGCTTCCACACACTAAGAGTTTGTTTAGATTGACGATTGAAAAAGTAATTTATGAGCAATTTGACCTTTGAAAAAGTGAGATTGAGTAAAAGTTAAATTGGGTAATATGAACTGTATTTGGATTAAATTTTATAAAAGTTAGATTGGATAAAATGTTATTTAGATTATGATTGAACAAAAGTAAACTTAGTTTGAAAAATTACTAAAATAGTTATGAGTTTTATTAGATAATGAAAAATAATAAAGAAATAAATTTACATAATGCAATAAATTTAAATTAGTAAGTTTAGTTTGTAAAATTATCAAAATGAATATGAGTTTTATTAAATAATAAAAAATGATTAATTTATTAATTTAAAATATCATAATAAAAAATATCATTAAAATATGTTTAAAAGGCTGGATTTTATTGGACTGATATTATAGCACTAGGAAATATTTAATCTACGCATTCTTATTAAAGAACAACATGCTCATGTTGGCCAAGAAAGAGAGAGAGAGAGAGACAGATGGGAGATAGAGGGAGAAGCATGGGATGAGGGGACAAGCGTGAGACAAAAATGAGAGAGAATATAAGCCATAAGCAGGTAAAAGTTACCTCCTTTAGCTTATTTTCAATCCCACGTTTGCATAGTTTTCGGCTCTCAAACTCAGTAACCCACAAGTTGTACCAAATAATACCACAATCTTCAATCGGGGTTCTTCAAAAAATAAGCTTCTTATGACTCAAAATAAACCCTCCCAAACAGGCACTGAGAATATTGCTCTGTTCAGATGGTTGGCATGAGATGCAACTAGCTAAGTATGATAGAGCCGTATTTTGCTTCGCACCCCGAGTATCTTGAGATGGCCAGGAGCACTATGGAATCACATTACGAGTTCAGAGATATGTTATCCGTGGACTATAAGCTGATAAGCGGGGAAGATGACATAAACACAGCCCCCTAACATGAGTCTTACGTAAAGCTATAAAACATGAGCGGTATCTGATTTTTGGCTCTCAGAAAACTAATAAAAGGCTCACAACAAATACTCTTATTGCCAGCCACTTGGAGCATCGGGGGAACTAGGTCAGATGTAGAGCTTAAAAATAAACTATGGAGTAATTATCACCCACACAGTGGATCGTCTGTTTAAGAATTCTGCTTTAATGTAAATATAAAATACACTTTTTTGATGGTGAGCCTTGAAACGGTGTCGTTGACGTGCCCGCAGGTGCCAAACAAAACCCCTTGGCGATTATTAACCGCAACTGGGAAGATCCGTCACCGACCCTGATCTAGAGTCTGCCTTGCGCAGGCGCTGAGAACGGGATAAATCATAGATGGCACTCTCATCGTCGCCGGCGGCGTCGAAAGGCATAGTGGTGACAGTGCCGGCTCTGGTTCTCTCTGCCTTGGCCGCCGCTATTTTCCTCCTCTTCCTCTTGTCAACGCTCTCTTCTTGCTCTTGCCCTTCAGCTGCTGACACACCTATTTCCAGTGGAAACGGTTTTCGTGATGATACCTCCGGGTCGGGTAGCGGCAATATTCCCTTTTCGACAACAAAGGAGGACGTAGAGTGGGTAAAATATCAGATCCAATTGAACGGGCTTCATATGCATGACAATGTGCTCCGCAAGGGCATTAACCCTCGCACTAGGGCTCAGCAACTCGAGGATCTTAGACAGTAAGACCCGTTGATCCTGTTCTTGTCCATTTCCTGGGTATAGGCTCTTTTTTTTTTTGGGTCTAGTAGCTGCTCTGTTCTCATCCGAAATAAACCTTGCCTTAACACCAAGATATCTCCCTATTCATGGGCGATCCTTTGATCTCTAGCTTCATATTCCTCTCAGTAGTTACCAACAACATTCGTTCGTCATACATATAATTGAACTGAAACTCTAGCTTGCAAGAGAGAATTGGAACAAAATGCAAATAGATTAGAAATCGAGATCAATGATTAGCTAAATGAATTTAAGGGATATATTGTAAAGGCGCATGATACAGCAAGACTGGAGAGATTTAATGAAATGGAAGTGGGAGTTTTAGGAAATTTGCTTATGCCGATATGCTGATTTTAAACTGAGTTTAGTCTGCATGGTTTTGTTGAATTTGTCTGGTCGCCAAGATGTATATTTTTAACTGTGCCCCCTCCTTTTTTTTTTTTTTTGAAATTTGCCTTTGTGCTCATTTTAATACTGCGATTCATTTGTGTATACGATTCCTTTCTTTCTGATGTTGTTTTGTGATTTGGAAGATGCGGAAATGATCTGTCTGGTTTCCAATAATGGCAGAATTTGTTCAAATTAAACACCAGAAAGCACCTACTTCAAACCTCTATGCTGTGTCAATTTGGTTTGATACAAGACTCTTTTTGGATGCACCAATTTCATCATCGCACCCTTAGGACAAACAATGTTCTTTTTCATTAGATGTCTCTAAAACTGAAAACCTGCCCTGTTCTGTTTCTCTTAGCATACTTATTCAAAGACATCAAAATGTTGTTTTTGCTTAGTTCATTTGTGCACAGTGATGCATTTTGTTGTAATTTTAAGTTCAGTTTGTTTGGCACGAACTATATGGTATTTCTGCTGCTTACAGATTTAAGGGCATATCACACTATGAGGGACCTGAATCAGATAATCACACTGCACTGCCTTGCCCGGGGGAACTCCTGGTTGAAGAGCACCACAGCAACTATGGTGAGCCCTGGGCTGGTGGAAGAGATGTGTTTGAATTTCTTGCTCAGTCCTCTCAACTCAGACCAGACTCCCGTGTCTTAGAGATTGGTTGTGGTACTCTTCGAGTTGGCTTGCATTTTATTCGGTTCTTAAATCCAGAGCACTTTCATTGCCTTGAAAGGGATGAGCTCTCCCTTATGGCTGCATTGAGGTATGAGCTTCCCTCCCAAGGCCTCTTGTTCAAACGCCCTTTGATTGTGAAGGGAGAGGACATGGATTTCAGTAAGTTTGGCTCTGGAGTTATGTATGATTTGATATATGCTAGCGCCGTATTTCTTCATATGCCTGATAAGCTCGTTTGGGTTGGGCTGAAGAGGCTAGCCAGTAGATTGAAACCTTATGAAGGACGAATCTTTATATCACATAATATCAAGTTCTGTTCACGATTGCGGGGAGAAGAATGCACAGAGAGACTCGCGAGTTTGGGGCTTGAGTATATTGGGAAGCATACTCATGATAGTTTGCTATTTAATCACTACGAGATATGGTTTGAATTTAGGCGTTCGAAGGCTTAATTGTAATAGAAGCTCAAGAAAGTAGCTCCCAGTGGTCTCAGTGCACTTATTGTGCCTTTGCTCTGAATGCCTCTTTTCGCTGGGTAGTTGAAAAGTTTATCGAGTCTTTTGATCATTGGCACATCTAATTGTGCAGGAGAATTAACGTTTTTGCAAGCATCTAGACAGAGAAGGATCATCGTGATTTTTGACGAAGACTCCAAAGAAAGCAGGGAGAGTTGAGTTATAAATTGAGGTGACATGCTGGAAAGGCTAGCGTTTTTTTTTTTTTTTTTTGGAAATTTTTTTTTAATTCTATTTTGAGATTGATGTAAAAGATGTAATTTAGTTTTCATTATATTTTGCAACCAGTAGTTGTTAGTTCTAAATGGGGTAATGTAGTGACATTGAATGAGTTATATCCTAGTTGTAACTTCTGATTTTTCTCAGCGTGGATGTTTCTAAGTTCTGCTTTCACCCCCTCTGCTTCTTGGGTGATAAATTGGGCCCAGCAGGCCTAAAGAAATTAAGCAAAAACAAAAAAGAAAGCATAAAAGGGATTTATAATGACACATTGAATATGAAAAGGGGCAAAAACTGCTGTGTCTGGTTTACTGTTTATCAAAAGTACATTCGTTAAACTGACTTTTAAAATAATAAAAATAGCTCCCACTCGCCTTCTTTGAAATGGATTTTTAAGCTACGTAGATGGGCTCTAAAAAAAATTAAGGTCCTGCCTCTGAAGCCCGAAATTGGGTTGGGTGAAGCTCAGGACACTTAAATAAAAAGTCTGAACTACCCATTACTTAGTACTGTTTGGTATGAAGAAAATAAATGAATTTTTTTAATAAGTTTTATTTGAAAAATTGGAACAATAAGATTTTAAAATTTTAATAAAAAAATAAGTATATAAAAGAATAATAAACATTAATTAGAAGTTTTTTTTTTCATTTTTTAATTTTTAAAGTAAATTTATTAAAATTTTGCTTGTTTTTTATTTTCTTTTATTTTTCCCGTACCAAACAAACCGAACCGGGAAGAGCAAGTAAACGACGCCGTTGCTTGATGGAAATCCAACATCAAACATTTCAGGGGGAGACTGGAGAGAATGAGAAAATGCAAGATCGAACGAAGTCTGCGTAGCCGCGGAATCAAGGATGGCTGGAGTTCGCATCTTAAGTAAGTCACAGTGCCGCTCAATCTTCTCCACAGCGCAGGTCCATGCCTCCTGGATGGAGAAGGTCAAGGGCGTCTTCACCGGCAAAAAGACCCCTTCCGATTCCAACGAATCCGAAATCAGCTCCGATTCGTTCACGCTTCTCCGTGAGTTCCATTACCCTTCTACCATTTAACCTCTCGCCCCTAGCTATCTTACGTAATTCATGATCACATTTTTTTAACAGAAAACCGTCCTTCAAATTTATGTTTTCCCCCTTTTCTGAAGGATTTGCGGATGAAATGAAGAAAGCAAGAAGAGTAGGGGCGTTCAAGCAGTACGTAGTTGGTCGAAGTAGTGAAGCGACCTTTGCTGATGCGTTCGAGAAACAGGAAGCGATAATTCGATGTTTAGCAGGTTTTGACCCCACTGGAGAGGTTATTTCTCTTCTTTTCCCTTTTTTCCCCCTCAGTAGCGACGCCGCCTTCTTAATACCTGTATCTTTTAACGTCGGGACCATCAGCCTTTTAGCCACCGCTTATAGTTGAAGTTCACGTCAGTCATCTTAGTAGGTGCCTGGGAATATTGTCGTTTGTTCTTTTTTCCCCGAATTTGTAATGCACTAAGACAGAATAGAAAATCTGCTAAATGATATTAACCCTTTAAGAAACCAGCCATAATGACGTATGAAATTCATTGTCTAAAACTTTTTGGGGTGTCCCCATCACTTACTTGCCACCTAAAATGTTCCTCGCTCCAAACACCATGTTTGAGCTTTTGGCACTATCTAATTGTCTTATATGATCGAAGTTTATGTTCTTGATGAATTTCTGCACTGATTGTCTATCTGTCTATATTCCCTGACAGTTCTACTGAAGCTAACTGTAACCTTATTATTTCTCATTTTCAGAATCTCCAGACCCCTCAAAAAAAAGAAGCAGCAAAGCATTGTAATTGCACAATTTCTGATGTGGAAAATGCACTGTCGAAGTTCACTTGGGCTAAAGAAGCACAAAAGAAGATAGAGAAGCTCAAGGAAGAAGGAAAACCAATGCCAAAGAGCATTGCTGAGGTAGTATAACATGCTCCAAATAAAAAGAAACAATATAAGCCTTGGTGTGTTTTTGGTTTGCACATTATGATTATTATTGTTGATATGTGTGGGGAATGGATCGATCTTGTGTACAAAATTAGCCACAAAAATATAAGTGCTATTACATGTCAGAATTTGTTAAGGACGATCTCGTTTGCTTCTTTGAAACTTGTTGTGACCCTGCTTTAATGCTTGATAAAACAGACAACAAAACTAACAGTAATGAAGCAGAGCAGCAATAAGTGAGGAAAATCCTGAGGCTTTGATATTAATGTTCTAACACTGAATCGAGATACAGCAAGCTCCCCTGATTCTAGCTCAAAGCCCTATTTCCCCCTGATTATCAAAATAGATCACAACAGCAACTTAATAGTAAAAGGTTACACTGGAACTAAAATGACAAAGCTTTAACACAGCAGCTCCCCATGGCATTCGAGAGGCCAGGGCTCTCCCTCAATACTCTCTCCCAAAAATTACCTGCCGTATGTTAGTTTCATTACAAAGCAATATATAGTCTCCCCAAAAGTAGTCCTACCCACCCTACAATGTTTAAGACCCATACGGCTAGTGGTTAGCTGCCAATCAGAGTTGTTCCTCATTTCCTGGAGCTCTGGAATAATTGTTTTGATCAGTGGATTTAACTTCTTCCCTTGGTTTTCTTATTTTTCTCCCATATGTCTTCCTAATGCCAGCGGTTATATCAAAACTAAAAAATTTTAAGAAAAATGTGGAGGTGATTCTTCTGGTGCTAGTATTGATGCTGATTTTGAACATATGCAAAATATGTATTTTATGTTTTTTTTTTTATTTAGATACACCGGAAAATAATATGCATTTTATGTTGTCTAGGTGCAAAAGATGGTCGGTTCAACTCCATTGGATTTGGCCAGGTCTAATTTGGCCCAAAGTGGACAAGTGAGTAGGAATGCGCTCTGTCCATGTGGTTCCAAGAAGAGATACAAACGGTAATTTGGCCCTGTTTTCAAATTCTCTGCGTGATAAAGGGTTATTCAGATTTACATGTATCTTAATTCTCGCGAAATTGAAGAAATTAAATTATGCTAATGAAATAATTTTGACTATCTTTCTTTCTATTTTAATTGTAATATCTCTTCAGAGTGTAAAATGCGTCATCTAATGGTATATGGTAAGCTCTTGGACTAAATACAAAGGCTATGAAAGCAGACATCTGTAATAAAATCTGATTTTATTTCCAATTATTTAGTTCTACTTGGTACTGGAAAATAAACACTCTGTTGGACTTGATTCAATATTTCCATGTGAATATATTTTCAAGATTGATCAGCTGCTATTGCTTTATTGATGAAGGTGCTGTGGAAAGGATTAAAGTGATTCAGAAGTTACCTATTCAACAATAGAAGGGGCGGGTCGCCGGGTTCTGGTTGTTGGGATCCCAAAATACTAGAATCAATATGCCCTGGTGCTCTGGTTTTATTGGTTCAGTTGGACAAACTACCGGATGCGCAGGAAAATGATGCGGCGAAAGGATCATTCCTCAAATAGATGCTTACCCTTTTTTTTGACGTTCACATTGGCGGCTGTGAATTGATTGAAAGCGAATTCGTTGAGTTAATTCCTGGTTCCCTTCTCTCCACTCTCACTCAAAAAAGTGGGGATTAATTATGTATGATTCTGAGGATATTTTCATTTGACTGAAAAATAGAGTACCTTTCATTTCACCAAAAAAAAGAGAAAGAAAAAGAGTACCTTTCAATATTGACGTGGTCATGAGTTTAATTCTTCTAATCCCAATGGTTGTCATCTCCTTGCATTTTCATTCAATACATGAAGCATGAAAATATTTAAACTAGCAAAAATATTTCCCCCCAATCGTACATGTTGAAGACAAATACTAGCTTATATTCTAAAATCAAAATTCTCCCATGCCAATTAAATCAAAATACCATTTTGTATGTCAAGCACAGCTCTTCAAGCTAACTAAACATGATTTCTCATTGCTACGTAGAATCTGAGATAACTTGTATTATTCATACTTTATGAATAGTACAACTTATTATAACTTCGTATTGGGTGGGGGGGAAAAAAACTTTGTATGGATACAAGGGGCTCGTATGACGGCGAAGTCCAACTCCACCGACACATAAAGGCAAAAGTTAATTGCCGGAAAGCACGGTGAAAAAGAAAAAACCAGAGTGGTGAATTTGGAGAGCAAAGCAGAGCAAGTCTGTTTTTGACCCGAGCACTTAATCATACGGCTCTTTTTCGTGCCTCTAGTATTTGACCGACCAGCATCCATTTGATATAATATTCCGAAAATGTTGGCTATATAAAATATGCACAAGGGTACGGCAATAATGGAGACACAGCAAAGCAATTACGGCAATGGATATGTCAAGGATCTCGCTGCGGCCATTCAAGTTGACCGACGCCGACGACTTCTTGTCATGGGCAGGAGACGATCAAGTGACTCAGAACCTGCGGTGGAAGACTTGTGGTTCTAAGGAAGAGGCATTGGCTTTCATCAGAGATGTTTGCATACCTCATCCATGGCGACGCTCAATATGCCTCGAATCCTCGATGACCGTTCGATCGGCTTTGTTTCAGTGTTTCCATGGTCTGGCGATGAACGTTGCAAGGCGGATATTGGTTATGCTATAGGAGCCAAGTACTGGGGCCAGGGGATTGCCACAAAAGCAGTGAAGATGGCTGTGTCACAAGTGTTCAAGGATTTGCCTCACTTACTAAGGCTACAAGCTTTCACTGTTGCGGAGAATAAGGCTTCTCAGAGGGTACTGGAAAAGGTTGGGTTCCAAAGGGAAGGCCTGCTCAGGAAGTACACTTATCTTAAGGGCAGTGTCAGGGATCTGGTCATCTGTAGTCTTCTATCTACTGATAATATCGATCATTAATAATGAATTAATGATCCGTCTCGTGTAGTTAGACCACTGCGGTTGTTGTATCTACTGATATCTTCAGGCTCGCAATCCCAAGAGCATTTCGAAATTCAGCTTTGTTTTACAATAATCTTTAGCTTTTTAAGAAAGAACTAATTACTTTCTAAAGTTTAACCCTTCATTGATTGGGAAATATTCGTTTGAAGACTGCAATAACACATTTTAACAAAATACCATCACATTTTGTTCAACTTCTGGCCTATTGGTTCATTATTATTAGGCTTTTACCTTTAACCCTTTGCTTAGAGTGAGAGAAAATTAGAGAAGAGAGAAAACTGGAGAGGAAAACATGAGAAAAGACAAGATTTCTCTTAATTGAATAGGGGAGAAAATGTAGGAGGAAGAAAAAGGGAGGAGAAAATAAAATGAACCTCATGTCTTATTTTTTTCTCCAAATTTTCTCTCCATATATGAAAAGATTTGAAAAGAAAAATAAGATTTTTATGATTGCCCCTCTTCTCTCTTCCTCTCTATATTTATTTTCTTCTATTATATTTAAAAAGTTATTCACTTTTTATTTTTTATTATCTTAAAACTATTTTTATTAAATCATTTGGTTTTAAAACATAATAATCTGAAAATGTATATAAACTAAATAACTTGATTTTAAATTATTTGATGATGCTAATGTTAGTAAAATTTTTCTATTGCAATGTTTAATTTAATTTAATTTTAAATATGATATATCTTGATAAAGATATTTTAGTTATTTAAATATTTACTAATTTTTTTTCTTTCTATTTTCTTTCATCCATCCAAACAAAAAAGATGGTAACAACTTCTCTCTACTTTTTCCTTCTTCCTATTTTCTCTTCTCTCATTTTCTTTCTTCTCAACTTTTCGCCTAAAAGCACTTGGAAAAAATGCTTAAAATTGCTCATATACTTACCCCCTACGTTATAAAATTATTTCTAAAATCCATTATTTCTTGTTTCATTTCCCTCCCTTCCATCCAGTTATATTGATAAGCAATGACAATGAATTATTGAAAGGGTCCGTTGTTACATCATGAAGTCATGATATAACGTAAAAATTATCCTACATGAATCTGGGTAGAATCTGCCGCTCTGACTGAAACGTTGAAGATGACAGCAAACTCACTTGAGCGACATTGGGGAAACTATGAATATCTATACAAAATGGTTCTGCAGTCGTTTGAGCTGCAGCACGATTCTTATATTCCTCAACACAAACATTTGCCGTACAAGCTTTGGTGTGATTTTCACTTCTCTTTTTTCCTTCGATATATATTCACAGAAGTAAACTATGCAGAGAGCCTCCGTATCCACACTTGAGAAATGGAGACAATTCAAGGGGTAGAATTTACAGAAATCTCCTGCGCCAAATGTGTAGCTGGCTGATCTTGATGAGACGGCATTACCAGACGCTGCAGGGGCTTTAGCGCTACCGTGAGCTGGGCAAATGAGGGTCGAGAATTGGGATCCCTGGGAAAAGGAAATTTTCAGACAGCGATTTTTTTAAACTAATGTTGTAAAAAGCGTTACGCCAAATAAAACTGAAAACAGACAGCGCTTACTGTTGCCAACATTCCCAGATAATTCTTGCAACTAAAGGATCAACTTCTTTGGGGATATCTAAACGACGATTTTGGAAACCTACAGCACCAACAACTTGCATAGGATTCATCCCACTCCACGGCAACTTTAGAGTAGCAAGCTCCCATAGAATGACTCCGAAACTGTATACATCACACCTGTGCATTTGCGCATGTTAGTTGGGATGCATCACACCCTTCAGCAGCCATGTTTTCCGAGCCTCAAGCCAGAGGAAATATAATGTGAATTGGTGATGGTGAAATCCATAGACGGACTTTTCAATACTAGGTTTTATTGCTATCATACTATGGCATAAATACTTCTATAAACAGGAATCCCGCATAAGACATAAAATTCAAATAGAAAACATTTACTGAAAGCTGAAAAATAGAACGTAAAAGGGTTTAGTTAGAGAACAACTCACTTCTCATTTGAGGGTTCATTGCGAAGAACTTCAGGAGCCATCCATTCAGGCTGACAGGCAGAAGAAAAAGTCAGGGTTGAACATAGAGACTGTGGATAAATAAATGATCACCCAGAATAAAAGAGAATTGTTTCAAATGCTCACCGTTCCAGCAGTTGACTTGGATGATAAAAACGTGTTGTGCTTCAATCTTGACAAACCAAAATCACAAACCTGCGGACATATAAAAGAGCAGGCTGTCAAAGTACATTCCTCCATAAAACCCACAACTACTGACTGCAGATGATTATTCCCCACCCCAGAAAAAGGCCCAAAAGAAAGAAGAAAAGGCTCGGAAAGTTTAATAAACACAACCTACAAGATTTGTATATTCATAATATTATTTATGTATAGAAATGGGCAGAGCATCTAGCAGATGTAGCGATTGCAGTAGCAAAATGAAGAGTAGAACACAAGATGTAAGGTTCTCTAGCATTAAAAAAAGCTGGAGACTCTCCTTTAAGAGAATTCTTCATCTACGCCCTCAGACCGCCACCCAAAAGCTAAAGCTCAAGAGAGTATCTATGGCTAATACAGTGTTGTCAAAGGCAAAAGGCGCCCTCAAGGCACAAGTGACTGTAAAACGCCCTGTCCCTTTAAGCAATATAGCTATTGCTAGATAATTCCTCCCTTGCCCCTCCTGCCCCCTTCATCCTCGGCTATTTCTCTCTGATTCTTACCACGCCCCCAAATCCTTAACACTTTTGGCCCAATAGCTAGGGGTCCACCACTAACAAACATCTAATTTGATGGGTAAAGAAAGAATTCGGGAATAGGTATAAATGGGGCGGGGGGGGGGGGGAGCTGACAAGATACACTGATAATGCATTAAGTTTCAATATACACCTTAACATTCCAGTTCTTATCAACCAAAAGATTTGGTGACTTCAGATCACGGTGAACGATCGTAGGCGTGCTGGTGTGTAAGCAATTCATGCCCCTAGCCTGCAACCCAAAGCAATCAAAAATGAAAGACGAACAATGAAAATGTTGGTCAAAGAAAGAAGGATGAAATAAATTATTTCATACCACGTCCAGAGCCATTTTAATTCTGCGTTTCTCATCAATCTGACAATTAGGACGATGAAGAATTCGGTACAAGCTTCCCCTGTTAAGTGCAACATCAATAACAAAAGAGCTATAATTGTGAAAAGAGTAAATAAAATTGCTCACCTCTTCCCACAACCTTCTAGACTTTAGGGACCAACACAGATATGAAGTGTGGGCCACTACTGTTTGTTTTTCATCTTGTTGGGACAAAGAGGGTCATAATTTTGTGACACAATAATGACAGTATAAACTCTTGAGAAATGCCAAAAAAGAAAAGATGGTGCACAAATTTACCTAGGAAGAAACTCTGTAATGATTGAGAGATTAGGAGGTCGAGTAACAGCGCCCATAAAAAGAACAACATTCGGATGCCGCAGTCTACGCATTATCCTTACCTTACAGAATACAAAAGGAAAAGGGATTAGCATATCGGCCTCAAGTAAATAAGGATAACAGTACTATTTGTTATAGTCTTATGACTTATAAACCAAAGTTTAAACATAAGGCCATTTGACCATTCATTTGTCCAGTCCACTGTTTCAGTTGAATATTAAATTTCGTCCCGCAGTTATTCTTTTTAGAAGCAAGAATAACGAAGGCAATAAGTGAGTAGATGGTACATTATGACCATCAGAAGTTCAGAACCATTTTTCATTAATCCCCACCCTTATTTCTATAGAAAACCAGCATACGTTAGATTCTTCTTAGAAATTATCATTTAGATCATCATTAACAGTGACTGGATGCACAAAAACACAACTT